GTGTGTGTGTGTGTGTGTATATGTTGGCCCCAACCTCCAGTACCTCAGAATGTGACCTCATTTGGAGATCGGGTCTTTACAGAGGTAATCAAGTTAAAATGAGGTCACTGGGGTAAATCCTAATCAAGTATGATAGGAGTCATGTGTAAAGGGGAAATCTGGGCGGGGCACGGTGACTCACGCCTGTAATCCCAGCACTTTGGGAGGCTGAGGCGGTGGATCACTTGAGATCAAGAGTTCAAGACCAGCCTGGTTAACATGGTAAAACTCCGTCTCTTCAAAATAAAGAAATACAAAAGTTAGTTGGGCATGGTGGCTCGTGCCTGTAATCTCAGCTACTTTGGAGGCTGAGGCAGGAGAATCACTTGAACCCAGGAGGCGGAAGTTTCGGTGAGCCAAGGTTGTGCCACTACACTTCAACCTGGGAGACACAGCAAGACTCCATCTCAAAATAAAAATAAAAATAAAAAGTATATTGTGCTTTCCACACTCTGAACCATTGTATATGGGTTCATTTCCACGTGACTTCTGGGCTTATGAGTGGCACGTTTCTGGACGGTGTACGGGGTCTCTTTTCTTTACCCCCTAATGCACAATCACGTCACAAATAGACTCCAAACCAAAGCTGTTAAATTTCCAAACCTTTAATCCCAAATCAGATCACAGCCAGGTCAGACCCTTCCCTATCTCCCCCCACCCCCACCCTGAGCTGCAGATGAGTTGTAAAAAGTCTCTCCCGGCAAGTGAATCGATCCACACCTGGGAAATGAAGGGGCCCCCAACTCCCATCCAAGACCCCTGACCTCATCCCCCCGCCCCACACCCCAGCTACCCCATCAGGTCCCCGCCAGTCTTCCCTGGGGACCCTCGTTTGCAAAGAACCTCTTCCCGTCCCAACCCCAAGCAAATCACATACAGCCACCGAGAGAAGCGTATTTACAGAGAAAGGATAAGGGGACAGGAGGCAGGCGTGTAAAAAAACATGGGCCCCCGAGCACGGAGAACACAGTTTCCTAAGGAGATGGAGCAAAAAGATCTTGGGGGTACAATGGAGAAGGTCAAAGGGCTTGGTGGTTGCTTAGAGAAGTCTCAGGCGTGGCTCTAGGTGGCCCGGTGCCCTCGCTTGGGACAGAGGGACCCCCAGGGCCAGGAAGGCAGTGTGAGCAGCAGAAAGCAGCCGGCCCCCAACAGCAGGATCAGGCCGGCCCCCACGCCGCAGCCCAGGGACCAGGAGTACTCGTAGGTGAGGCGTGGGGCCGGAGGAGGCTCCGGGCTGACTCCCTGCAGCAGGGCCCTCACGGAATGCCGGAACACCTCCAGGCTCACCAAGAGCAGCAGGCCTGCGGGAGAGAGGACAGCACGCCATCAGGCCCCTGGGACCCCAGCTGTGTCTGAACATCGCTGCCATCCTCTCCCAGCCCTCCCGCCCACCCTGGCACCTTCCCACACATGCACTCAACAAATACTTACTAAACACCTACTATATAGCAGGCAGCATTTGGGAAGCTGGAAATAAAGAAAAAAAAAAAAGACACAAAGTCGTAGAGACAGAAAGTAGAAGGGTGGTTGCCAAGGGCCGGAGGGAAGAGGAAAAAGGGGAGTTGGTGTTTAACGGGTATAGAATTTCAGCCGGGGAAGATGAAAATCGTTCTGAAGGTGGATGGGGGTGATAGTTGCATAACAACGTGAACGGAATTGACGCCACAGAACTGTATGCTGGAAAATGATTAAAAGGTGGATATAGAATCACAGCTAGACGGGTAGAAAGGCATTCTGGTGTTCGCAGCACTGTAGGGTGAATATGGTTCATTAGATTTTTTTTTTTTTTTTTT